AGTTGCAAGTGCAACAACTAATTGAAGAGAAGAAAACCTTGGATGCTAAGACAAAGGAGAGCAAGGCACGAGCTGCAGCACTGGACGAAGCACTCTCAGCTTGCCAGCAAGAAATGGAGGAAGTAGAAGCTCAGACACCACAGGACGAGAACGTCCAAGCACATCTAGCTCAGTTGCGTCAACTAGTGATGAGAAATGAGGCTCTTAAGCGTGAAAAGAACGAGTTCCGAACCAAATGTCGTCTCGAACTGGAAGCACTGAAAGAGCGTGTCGAGAAGCTGAAAGTCCAGGTAGCAGAAGACGCTAGCAATCAAGATGAAGAGGCTCTACGACTCAATGAAATCGAGCAGATGCACGCTCAGATGGCTCAAAAACACAAGGATATGAAGGTCGCAGCGGCCAAGCAGACCCGGGCATTGCATTTAAAAATGAAGCAGATTGATGAGATCCCGACGCGGATTGAGCTGGTGCAGTACGAGAAGCGATTCCTCGAGCTTTATGACGAAGTGGCGTTGACACTAGACGAAACACGCAAGTATTACTGCGTGTACAATACTCTCAAGACGACACACGAGTTTCTGGAGAAGGAGATCTCGCTCATTAACAGTATCAACGACAACTTTGACGTCGCAATGGGCTCCAAGACAGCAACACAGGCGTTCTTCATGCAAGTTGACAACATTATTCAGAATGTGCAAGGGACTGTAACCAAGCAGCAGAATGCACGAGACGACCACCAGACCAGTGTGGAAACGCTGGACAGTAAATATCAGTTGCTGCTTGAGCAGGAACGAATGTACGTGAATGCAATTCGAGAGTTCCAGAAGGAGTGCGAGAAGAATGAGAAGCTCGTAGCTCGACTCAAAGAGTTGAAACAATAGTATGATTTTGAAGAATGAAGGTCATGTAACCGGTGTATTGCAAGGTGCGTAAAAATAATCAACCCATAGTTGGAATCGTTTTCGTTGCTGTAGACTCCAGGGTTGGCAGACATGAGCAGGAAGAAGACTGTAACACCGACAGCTTCGCTCGCATCATGCTTAGATTTCGCTGCTCGAATCCTCTCCTCGACGGCGTCTGTACAAGAGATTTGTACGAAGTCCGTGCTGGCGCCGATGGTTGTGGAAGCACATCGATGTGGGCAGCAAGTAGCGAAGAATAGCGAGTGTGGCAGCCATGTTGACGTTCGGAAACTTCTCAAGACTTTGCAGAGCAAGGAGAGCAACAAGTTGTGTCGACAGTCCCCGCTACAGGAACTTGAAGTCGCTGACTTGACGTGGGATTTCAACGGGACTGTGGAGGATACACTGAGTATCGAGATCGAGGAGCTAGAAGATCGAGCAGCAATGAGTGAAACGGATACGTGTATCGTGTTGTCAGCGTCATCACAAACAGCGGGTGGACAAGCTGTGATTTGGTTTCCTCTGGACTGCAGCGACGACGTGGGCGATAGAAGAAAA